CTATGTGAAAAGACCAAATTTACGTTTGATAGGTGTACCTGAATGTGACGGAGACAATGAATCCAAGCTGGAAAATACCCTTCAGGATATTATTCAGGAAAATTTTCCTAAACTAGCAAAGCAGGTCAACATTCAACCCCCGGTAATACAGAGAACACCACAAAGATATTCCTCAAGAAGAGCAACCCCAAGGCACATAATCGTTAGATTCACCAGGGTTGAAACGAAGGAGAGGATACTAACGGCAGCCAGAGAGAAAGGTCAGGTTACCCACAAAGGCAAGCCTATCAGACTTAAGCAGATCTCTCTTAGAAACTCTACAAGCCAGAAGAGAGTGGGGGCCAATATTCAACATCCTCAAAGAACAGAACCTTCAGCCCAGAATTTCATATCCAGCCAAACTAAGCTTCACAACTGAAGGAAAAATAAAATCTTTTATGAACAAGCAAGAACTCAGAGATTTTATTACCACCAGGCCTGCTTTACAAGAGCTTCTGAAAGAAGCATTACACACAGAAAGAAACAACCAGTATTAGCCTTTCTAAAAATATACCAAAAAGTAAAGAGCACCAACATAAAGAAGAATTTACACCAACAAATGGATAAAACAGCCAGTCAACATCAAATGGCAGTAACCCTAAATTTAAATTGACTAAATCCCCCAATCAAAAGACACAGGCAAAACACAATGGCATGTTACATCCAGACCTGTTTCACATGCAAGGATACACAAAGACTCAAAATAAAGGGATGGAGAAAAATTTACCAACCAAATGGAGAGCAAAAATAAATAATAAATAAAAAGCAGGAGTTGCAATTCTTGTATCGGATAAAATAGATTTTAAAGCAACAAAGATAGTGATAAAAGGATCAATGCAACAATAAGAGCTAACGATCCTAACACCCAGATACGAGACTTAGATTCAATGAGACAGAAAATTAATAAGGATATCAAGGACTCGAACTCAGATCCGGAACAAGTAAACTTAATAAATATTTATAGAGCTCTCCCCTTCAAATACACAAAATATACATTCTTGTCAATACCACATCACACCTACCCATTACTTTAAATGAGACATTGATTGGCCATTATTAATACCCAATTTTTTTCAAAATAAAGCAATATTTCCATTTACTCTCCCTCTTTTTCCTCCTCTTTCTTCCTCTCCTTTACTTATTTTTTTTTTCTTTCCTTGTCTCAAAAAAAAAAGAAATCAACTTGTAAACCTCTAGATCCAGGTCGGCAATGTCTCTCTCATTGCTTGATTTCCTTCCTTCCCTTCCCTCCCTCCCTCCCTGCTTCCTCCCTTCCTTCCTTCCTTCATCCCTTCCTTCCTCCCTACCTTCCTTCCTCCCTACCTTCCTTCTTCCCTCCCTTCCTGCCTTCCTCCCCCGCCAAAAAAAAAAAAAAAAAAAAAAAAAAGATGGGAGTCTCACTGTATTTCCAGGGCTGGTCTCAAACTCCTGGGCTCAAGCCATTCCCCTCCCTTGGCATCCCCCAAAGTGCTGAGATTACAGATATGAGCCACCGCGCCCAGCCTCATCTCCATTTTTCAGATGAAAAAAACTGAGGCACAGAAATGTTCAGCTGTTTGTCCACAGCCACCCAGCAGGAAAGCCTGGATTTGAATCTGGCAGTCTGACTCTCAGCTTTCATGCCATGCTGACTCTCACCATTTCCCCCCCAGAATCTTTTCCCCTTAAGTGTCCTTGCCTCCCTTGTCGTGTTGCCGGTGCTAGCTCTGGGGTTCTTAGCCTGCCCCTCCGAAGTCCTCACTACTAATGGAGTCTCTGCCAACTTAAGGCGGGGACCACAGAGGCTGCTGGAACTGGCTTCGTGGGAAGAACCTATTTCCTGCCACTCTGGGGACTCCCAGGTGTGGCTGATGAGGCAGGAGCTGGGTAGACGTGGAAGCGGAGCTGTTCTGAGACACCTGGCTCTGGCCTGTGGGGCAGCTGGCTGGAGCTGGGCTCCCCTCTGCCTTTCTGTCCTACCTTCCTGCTCAATCCCCAGCTCACCTCCTGGGCCTGGCCTCCTGGCTAGGCTGCCACTGGACCAGTCCTGGAGTTCTGTAGGAACTGGAGTTTGATGTTCATTTATTCAACATCCATGTATTCAGCTCCCACTGTGTGTTAGGTGCTGTTCTGTAGACATGGCAGTGACTGCCATATACCTAGTCCTGGGAGAGACATACCAAAAGTTCAGCACACACTGCCAAAAACGTACAATTTCACAATGGCAGGCTGGGCATGGTGGCTCACGCCTATAATCCCAGCACTTTGGGAGGCTGGGGCAGGAGGATAACCCAGGAGTTTGAGACCAGCTCAGGTAACAAAGAGAGACCCCATCTCTACAAAAAACTAAAAGACTAGCCAGGCATGGTGGCATATGCCTGTAGTCTCAGCTAGTTGGGAGGCTGAGGCAGGAGAATCGCTTGAGCCCAGGAGTTCAAGGTTACAGTGAGCTATGATTGCACCACTGCACTCCAGCCTGGGGGACAGAGCAAGACCTTATCTCTAAAAAAGAAAAAAATAAATGCTTTGTCAAATTTGTCCACATTCATGGATATAGGCTGAGTGGGAGGATGGCTTCAGCCCAGGAAGAAGATGGAGGCTGCCGTGAGCTGTGACTGCACAACTGCACTCCAGCGTGGGTGACAGAGCAAGACCCGTCTTAAAACCAAAACAAAAAACCCAAAGGGAACTACTCTTGGCTGGGCAACCAGGTAGGGCCCTATTCAGGAGAGGCATTTAAGCTGAGATCTGGAAGAAGTGGAAGAGAGTTCCAGCTGGGGGGAACTGCGTGGGCAAAGGCCTGGCAGTGGAAAAGGCTTGGTGCATAGGGGAGAAAGCCCAGTGAGGCTCAGTGGAGGGAGTGGTGACCCCGGCCCTCCATGCTCTTCCAGAGGCTTCTGCTTGAGAATGGGAAAGAAGTTTCCAGCAAATAAGGCCCCCGCTCCCAGGATGAGGTCCCAGCTCGACCTGCTCCATTCTGTCTTCTCAAGTCCTCTGGGCCACAGAGGCCTTGAAAGACCCACCCTCATCCCTCCTGTGGGCCCCGGGGCTGGGGTGTCCTATCGATGATGGCCTTCTTCGGGTGGATGAATGGAAATTACTCCAGGAACTGGCGCCTCCGTGTTCCCAGGCAGATAGGCCTGGCCTCAATTCCCCTCTCCATCAGGAGCAGGCTGTGGGACTTCAGCTCTTTGGAGCCCCGGATTCTTCATCTGTAAAATGGGAAGATTCTTTCCTTCTTTCGGAGTCATCTTAATAAAATGTGTTGGGCTGTTTATACAGGGCAGGCATTTGGTGGGAGCCAAACCACCGGGTTATTATGCTAAAAATAACCATCATTATATGTGGCTGAGGGGTGCAAGTGTCTCACAGCCCAACACCGCAGCGGAATGAGAGCTTCATCAGGGCCGGGACCTTGTCTGGCTCGTTGCTGTTCCCACGACGACTGGCGTGGCAGGCACGTGGTCAGTGTTCCTCCATCAACTGAACAGGCGGATGAGTGATACCTGAATGAATTCGCGAAACAAAGAATGCCCAGCTCCTTCCGGAAGCAAGGTCATTCACCTCAACGGTCGCGCCTCTTCCCTGCCTCTCCTCCGGATTCCCTGCCACTCCCAGCTCTCAGGGAGTGTGAAGCACTCTTCTGTGCAGAGTGCCTCAGTTTCTCCCGGTGTAAGCGGGCGGGACCAAGGCAGCCTGCTGGGGTCAGGGTGAGGCGGGCGGAGGAAGGTCGCCTGCAGAGGGGCCCAGCACCCAAGGGCGCCCAATCCACGCTCGCCCGCGCCAAGCCCGTCCCCCGACCCCCGCCCCCTGCCCCGCCCACCGCGCGCAGCCCCAGCCCCGCCGCCCGCTGGCCCCAAGTGCACGTGACTCCGTCCCGGCCCGCCCCGGCCCGCCCCGCCGTCCTAGCGCCGAATCCCATTGGTCTCTCTGGGAGGCCCCGCCCCCACCCGGGGAGGAGCCGGGCCCCGCCTGCCGCAGCGCCGGCCTCCTGCGTCCAGAGTGCGCGGCGGCCGGACCCGGGGAGCGGGCGGGCGGGCGGAGCCGGGCCCGCGGGGCTGCTGCGGGGCGATCTGGCCGGGTCGCGGCCGCGCCATGGTGAGCGGGGCGGGGCGGGCCGCGCGCACAAGCCGGGCGGGGACACGGGGGCCCAGGGGCGGGGAGGGGGCGACCGGGACGGGGAGGGGCGCGCGCGGCGGCGGGGCTGGGCCGGGGTCTGCGGACGGGGGAGGGGCAGTGCGGCGGGCGCGGCTCGGGGGAGGGTCCATTCAGGGGGCCGCGCCCGCGGGCTGGGGCTCTTTGTCCGCGGCGCTGCGGCGAGATCGGGACAAAGGAGGAGGCGGGGGAGGGAGGGCGGAGGCCGCTTTGCGGGGAGCGCGATCTGCCCGCCCCCGCCTGTGCAGCCCCCGCCCGCCAGCAGCTCCGTGCCCACCCGCCTTTCCCCAGCACTTCGGGGTTCTTCAAAATTCTGGGGGCGGGAAGAACCTGGCAGCTTTCTGCGTGGCCAGTAGGGCTCGGGGGCTAGGGGTCCAGGCGACGTCCGGCACCGGCTTCGCGAATAGGGAAATTGAGGCCGGGCTGCAGCGTTCGGCGCCCGGTTCTGTAGGCAGTGGCTGCGCGGCGTGGGCAAGCCTGGGTCCCGTGGTCCCCTTCCCACAGCTCGCCTCCCGTCGGGTCGACTTGAACTGCCTCCCCAGCTGCCGTTCCCTCCCAGCTGTCGCCCCCTGGACCGAGCCGCCTCCTCCCTAGAGCCTGGCTTTGCTCCTCTGTAGAGTGGGGGAGACGCCGGCGGCGTCGGGCAGGGTGGAATGGGAGGGTGCGTGGAGCGCGCCTGGCATCGCGCCTGCAACGCCGCCTGCGCTGAGCACGCGGGAGCCGCCGGGACTCTGTCACCCCTGAGTCCCCAGCACCCAGCCCAGGTCGCCCAGCCCACTCCAGCAAGGGCCACACCGGGGTTCACCTGTTCCCGGTCCTCTTAGGCACTTGGGAGAGGAGGTGAGCAGAATGTGGCATTTTATTTATTTATTTTAAAATACGGGGTTTGACCATGTTAGTCAGGCTGGTCTTGAACTCCTGACCTTAGGTCATCCGCCTGCCTTCGCCTCCAAAGTGCTTGGATTACAGGCGTGAGCCACATGCCCGGCCGAATGTGGCATTTTAGAGTCAGGGTCGAAATTCGGGATTTGGGTTGCAGGTTGCCTGCGTTTGAATCTGCGTGTCTGCTTTCGAGCTGTGTGACCTTGGGCAGTGGACTTAACTTCTCTGAACCACTGATTTCTGTATCTGCCGAGAGGGAACGGTAATTGAGGCAGATAGGAGATGTCTGCATGAACTGTTTAGCTCAGTGTCTGGCACATCTAATTGCCACCAACTTTCTGGGGCATCTACCAGCATAGTTGTTTGGCCAAACAGACCAACCCTGGGGCGGCTTGTGAAAATGACCAGTGGGTGATTCACAGAGTGGGGGCATGAGCCTCCTGGCCCAGGAAGACCCCGACTGACCTTGGGGCAGTCCCATATCAGCGCTCTGCAGGCTCTGGCTTCCTCTTTTGCCACCGGGGAAGCTAGGGGGTTCTGGAGCGAGTTTCCTCTTCTGAGGAAGGAGGTGTCATGGGTGGGGGTGGAGGTTGAGATGACACTGGCCAGAGAGCTGGGCACAGCCCCATCAATGTTGGCTTCCACTGGCATCCGGCTGCTCTTGCTCCTGGCTTCTGGAGGTCTGGGGCCTTGTGTGATGAATCCTGTGTCCCACTGGTGCTCTGGCCCAGGGCAGAGCGGATGTCCCGCCTCATCCTATGTCCAGCAGTGCCCTCTTCTCCCTACATCCCTGTTTTCCCAGTCAGAACCTGGGGCAGGAAATGTTTCTGGTTTGTGAACTGGGGTTCACTGAAGTTTTTTGGCACCCTTGGCAGGTGGCTTTATGGGGCCAGTGCTGGAAGCCCCGTGGGGATGGCTGGCCCCTGTAAGCAGGGCAGCCCTCCTGGCGTCCCTCGAGGAGCCTCAGGAGGTGACGGCTGCCAGGCGGGGGTGTTTTGCTGGTGGTGAGCCCGGTAGCACTCGTGATGTTCCCAGCTGAGTTAGGAGGAGGCAGCATGTCCCTGGAGAAAGGGTATTTGTGGCACTGGGCCTGGGCCAGGCTCTGTGCCCTTCCGGTCCTGGGGGTGGGCTTGGGGTCCCTCGGGCTCAGTGTTCCCTCTGCGGCACACAGAAAGGTATGGCTGATGACATGCAAATCTGGTGTCCCCGCGGCCCTTCTGTTTTCACTTTTCTTACCACTTCTCATCCTCCCCACAATCTGGTAGATGAGGTCAGGGACTCATACCCACTTTGCACATTGAGAAACTGAGGCCAAGAGGAGCAGGTTGTTTGGCTGGGCAGAAGCAGGGCACAAAGGCGAGTCCCAGGCTGGGAGGATGGAGGACACTCCAGCCTGCTCTGCTTTGGGCTGTGGGCTGTGGGCCCCCCAGGGCCTGGAGCACCTGGAGTGGCCTGTCGAGCAGGATCAGGCTGTTTGGGGATCCCATGAGGGGGCAGGGATAAGTAGACCCCTCCCCTCCAATACTGGGGAGGACCTAGAAGACAAGCTGGGGCCCTGGGAGGGAAAACAGGACCAGAGGTGACCCCTCCCCTCTGCTGCCCTCCGATCCTCTCTGCTCCCCTCTCCTTCCCTCCCCTCACTGGTAGCTGGGCCAGGGACTGTCCATTTGAATGGCTCTGACTGGGTGGTGTTCATCCCTGGTTCTGCCCCCATGCTCCTGGGGGCCCAGTTACTGATCTCTGTGGGCCTAGGCAGGACCATGTCAGTAACATCTGCAAGCTTGGGTGGCTGGGGGAGTGGCCCAGGGTGGTGTGGGCCCCGATTACCTTTCGTGGCTCAGGCTTGTCTTGCTGTTGTGATTCTGTGGGATGAGTGTGGGCTCTGCCTGGAGACACAATGTGTTCTGTGCTGCCGCTGACCCCTGCTGGGGTTGAGGGTGCTGGGGTGGGGGGATTGTACAGACTGGAGAGCCTGGGCCTTGGAGCTTGCTTTTATGGTGGGTGGGTGTGATCCGAGAGTCAGGACCCCCTTGGCAGAGGATGGCAGGACTGAGGGCACATGGAGCAGGAGGGTGTATGTTTGGGGGATCCACATGGCCTGGGGCTTCAAATGCCAGGCAGAGGGGATACTCCAACCTGCCCAGGCTACGCTTTGGGTCCCTCTGCACTTAGAAGACACCTCCCTGAGTGCTGCCGGGCTCCCCTCTGCGCTCCCATCCTGCCTTCTAGCTTTTCACTTTACCTCCCTGCATGTGCCTCAGTTTCCTCACCTGCCAGATGGAGATGGCTTGGGTGAGCAGAGGCGGCTGCAGGCTTGCTGGATTCAACGCTGGTGGGAGTGAATGTGAGCTGCTGTCCTGATGGCTGTCAGGCCGGCAAGGATTCCCATGTGCCAGCCTGGGCATCTCCCCAGCCCAAGCTGTGGCCTGTCCCTGTCCCCTGCATCCTGTGGGCTTGACTGGATCAGGGTGAGGGGTTACCCAGCTTGCAAGACACAGCTTTGGTCAGAGGGGCTGGAAAGAGAGAGCAGGCGGGTGGGGTCCAGCCAGGCACAGGGGCTCGTGGGGACCTGCTGCCCTCCATGCTCTGAGTTTCCCCGGGTTCTGCTTCTCGGTCACCCCCTTCCCTCCCTGCCTGCCAGCAAGCATGGAGCCAGCTTGCCCCTCCATGGGCTCAGCCTGCCTGAATCCTGGCATTCACCGCTCTGCCCCCGCACTTGGGCGTAGGCCTGTCCTCCCACGCAGGCTGCCGGCTTGAGTCTCGTGGGACAAAACATGGCCTGTGCTCGGGGGCCTGTGCTCAGGGGCCTGTGAGTGCTCTGGGTGTCACAGACCCCCACCTGTAATCCCCTTGGGAACAGGGTCTCCTCTAACTTACTGCATCCTCAGGCTGGGAACACTTAGCTGACATTTACTGAGTGTGAGCACCTACTGTGTGCCCGTGCTAGGGCAGGGTACAGCCATAGGCGGGACAGATGGTGCCCTCTTCTGACAGCCTTGGAGTCCAGTTCGGGGAGTTAGACACAGCCAGGGGACATCCCCTGAGCCTAGAGAAGGGCAGGTAGCGCGGAGGACAAATGAAGCAGGGCAAGGCTGCAGTGGGGACGTGGGAGGGAAGGGTCTGGGGCCAGGGTGGTCTGGAAGGGCAGCCTATAAGAGGCGCCTTCTGAGAAAGTCCCCAATAGGAAGGCTCCAGCCACGGGGCAGTCAGGGCAGAGGTGGGAGTGTGGGCTCGCAGCAGAGGGCGTGGGGACACCTGGGGAGGCAGGAGGGTTGGATTCTCTTCTGGTGCCAGGAAGGGTTCTGAGTGGGGATTATGCTATCACATTTTTGCAAAGATGGTTTCTCAGGAAACATTTGCTAAGTGAACAAAGGAACAGATATGCACTTGGGAGGGCCAGACCACAGGCCAGGCATGACTGTGGCTCAGTCCCTGGGCTCTGCCCCACCTGGTTCTGCCCATGTCTCCTGGCCTGAGGTGAGGGCAGCAGACAGGGTTTTGAGGTCACCACTCCTCTTAGAGAATCCCTTTGAGCTGGGGCTGCCAGTGCCTCAGTTTCCTCATTAGTCCTGGTTGAACTGGGGCCCTTTGACCTGGCCTGCCCACCTGGCTTTGCTCCTACTACCCCAGGTCATGGTGCCATTGTTTGATTTTGTACTTCCTTTCCGTGAACTACCCCCACCCCTAAACACACACACTTCCCCTTCTGAACTGATACTGACTTACCTTCCTGTCCAGAAGCCCCAGGGGAGGGCAGGCGCCTCAGCAGGCCCTGTGGGCCAGAGGTGCAGGAGAGAGGGTGGCGGGAGGCATAGACCAGGCAGGTGTTATCCCTGCAGGGAGAGAATGCAGAGGTTGGGATGAGTGTACACAGGCTCACCCAGCCATGGTGGGCAGGCTGTCCAGGGGGTCCAGGGGGTCCCCTATCCAGTCTGGAGGCCTGAGAGGACAGCTGAGCAGGGTTGTGGGGCAGGAGAGAGACCAGGGTGGTCTGTGCATGCAGGGGACAGGGCAGAGCCACCATGGAACTCATGGCCCACTGGAGGGGGAGGTGGGCACTAATCAGGTGGCCGTGCGCCAGAAGCCAGGGCTGCACACCGAGGCCACTGTTCCGGAGGGAAGGAGTCCAACCTGGACTTCCAGGTTGGGAAGGCTTCCCTGCTGTAGCTGGCATTAACCGCGTCAGGGTTTCTTTCTCCAGCCAGGCCATCTGTGGGGTGGGGGCTGCCCTGTGCAGAGTAGGTGCCAGAAGCATCCATCGTCTCCCTAGATGCCAGGAGTGCTACCTCCACCCAGTTGTGACAAGCAGAAGTGGCTCCAGACATGGCCAGATGTCCCCAGGATGGGAACACAATGACCCTCAATTGAGAACCACTGAACAAGGATAAACCGGCGGAATGTTCTGGGCAGGAGCAACTGCCCAGGCAAGGGCCTGGTGGGAGGGTGCGTGGGGGTCAGCGTGGCTGGCAAGCAGGGCATGTTGGGGATGTGTAGTGTTTGCTCCTGCAGGTCATTGTGAGGACTTCGAAGGCATCCTAGCTGCAGTGGCCTCTGAGGGCGGACAGGGAGATCCTTAGTGCCTGCAGCAGCCTGGCCCCTGGAGGCAGGGGAAAGGCAGTGGAATGGAGGGAGCTCACCTCCTCTGCCCAGGCTCTCTGCAAAGCTGCCGGTTTCCCGGGGCCTGGACCCTGGACAGGTGCTGGGGGCGCTGACTTGGCTGCCTTTGACCTTCAGGCAAACCTGGCTTCTGGGGAAACTCCTGTTAGGTAAGAATCATTTCTCCTGAAGGCTGCTGTTGCTCAAGAATGCAGCAGGTTCGATCCTGTTTGGAGGGAAAACCTCCTTCCAGGGCTGTCTGCCTGCGCTGATGTCAGTCTCATCCAAAGGGAATAAAAAGAGGCCAGACATCTAGTCCTGAGTGCCAACTGCGCGCCCAGTCCTGTGCAGAACGTGTCTCAGGCCTGCTTATCCTCACTGACCCCAGGTGCAGTGAGTGTTTGCTCTGTTTGTGGTGAGCGAGGCAGAAGAGGGAAGAAAGTGCAGGTTATCTTGGGACGCCAGAGAGCCTGCCAGCCTCAGCACCAAGGGGCAGCAGTGGCAAAGCCCTGGCCCCAGCGTGCTGTCACTGGTTGTGTCTTGGGTGTCACCTAGAGGGTTGACAGGGTGCCTGGAGCAGGGGACTCTTAGTCCTTGAGTGCATTCCACAGCCGCATGCATGTGTGAACCCTGTGGCTCGGCCAGGTGGAGGTGGTGGTCCCGGCCCTCCTAGTTCTGGCATCACTTCCTCAACATGCAGAGCAAGGCTTGGCCTGGTCTGGGGGGGACCTTGTCCCTGCCCCCAACCAAACCAGCTGGTGTCCGACTCCTGGCACTTGCCAGGGGGACACCCTCTGCCTTCAGAGCCTTAGCCCTCGCTGTTCCCCCTGCCAGGAACACTCTAACCCATCAGCACTGCCTCCCACCTGCCCACCCAGGTTAGCATCGTGGTACCTGGTTGCTGTGTTCCTGACATGGTGCCCTGCATTGTGAGTGACCAGCATCTGGGGTACTGACCTGTTACAGTCTGGCTCCTGCACTAGATGCTAAGCTCCGTCGGCGGGGAGTCTCTGTCCCACCCTCCCTGCCTCCCTGAAGCTCTCCAAGTGCCTGTCTCCATCTCCCGGTACACTCTACCCTGTCACTTGCTGGTTGGCCTTGGCCCAAGCCATACAAGGTACTCTGCCCAGCTTCCTCCTCAGATGGTGTGCAGCGTTCCAGGAGTCTTCCCAAGCCAGCTGCAGTGCCTGGTGGCAAAGGCTGTTGTCCACTACACCGTCTCACAGGTGTCCCCAAAGGACCTGACTATTCTTTATATGATGTCTGTTTGGGACAGGGACTGATGTCATTTCTCAGCATTTTTTTTTTTTTTTTTTTTTGGAGAGTATTGCTCTGTTGCCCAGGCTGGAAGCCTGGAGTACAGTGGCAGGACCTTGACTCACTGCAACCTCTGTCTCCTGGCTTCAAGCGATTCTTATGTCTCAGCCTCCCAAGTAGCTGGGTAGCTGGGATTACAGGCAGGTACCACCATGCCCAGGTAATTTTTGTATTTTAGTAGAGACGGGGTTTTGCTGTGTTGGCCAGACTGGTCTCAAACTCCTGGACTCAAGTGGTCTGCCCACCTCAGCCTCCCAAAGTACTGGAATTACAGGTGTGAGCCACCGTGCCTGCTTCATTTCTCATGACCTCAGTCCCTTCGTGGTCATGAACACTGAGTAGGGGGGCAGGGCTTCCCAAAGGTGTACCTTCAAGAGAAGAACCAGAACCGTGCCTGGCTCTCTGGCAGCCTTTGCTGCAGCTGCTGCTGTTACAGTGTTCCCGGCTTTGCAGCCAGCGAGGGTGACTCGCCTGGCTGGTACAGCAGCACTCGGGGTTTCAAAGGTCGTGAGCAGGAGCTGGGTGAGCACCGGCGAGCAGATGTCTTCGAATGCTGGCCCGCATACTTTTTGGCAGGGTGAGGGTGTGATGGGCAGGTCTAAGAACGATTAAAAATAGACCCTGTGGAAGTGCCAGCTGCAGCTCATGGGTGGTCTGGGTCCCTGGTGGAGGCCCCCCTGTACCTCACCTGCTTTGTCTTTCAGGACTACTGTGCCCATCCTGAGTTCCAGCCTCACTGAGTGGCCACCTGCAAAGCGCTTCCAGCCGAGGAAGCCCCTGGCACTGACCATGTCTATTATGGACCACAGCCCCACCACGGGCGTGGTCACAGTCATCGTCATCCTCATTGCCATCGCAGCCCTGGGGGCCTTGATCCTGGGCTGCTGGTGCTACCTGCGGCTGCAGCGCATCAGCCAGTCGGAGGATGAGGAGAGCATCGTGGGGGATGGGGAAACCAAGGAGCCCTTCCTGCTGGTGCAGTACTCGGCCAAAGGACCGTGCGTGGAGAGAAAGGCCAAGCTGATGACTCCCAACGGCCCGGAAGTCCATGGCTGAGCCAGGATGGGAGGCTCCTGGTCCTGTTTGCAGCCAGCCGAGAGGCGCTGGGAGGGGCAAAACCACACGGACGTGCTGCTGTCTGAGAGGAAGGGCTGATACTTGCTGGCATGGCCTCTGCAGGCTTCGTCATCGCATGCACTGACACCCGAAGGCCCGGCTGTCCTGGGCTTCCCCTCGGCCTCTGGGTGAGGCTGCCCATTGCAGGCAGTGGGCAGGCCTGACCTTGCTGGGGCTCACAGCCCCGTAGCGCTTTTGTTACTTGAATGTTTAGCTGAGCCTGTTTTTGATGGAGCTACTACTGTAATGCGTGAACTAACAAACCTGTGAACTGTAAATAGGCCTCCGGAAGCACGTGCTTAAGCCCTTTTGCTGATTTTTTAAAATATCATCTAGTGCACACGGGACTGGTTTGATTCTGGCTGTACTCATGACAAGCTGAGTCAAGACCCCGAAGGGTCATAGGCTTGTAAAGGCCCACACTGCACTCAGCAGGGGTCTCTCATGTGTGTTCATCTGTCTGCATTTCAAGGAAGTGAGATGCCAGTTTGGGGTCTCGTGGCCAATCAGTTGGGGTGCTTGGGTGATCTCTGCTTGGTTAGTCATGGGTGGAAGAGGAACCACACACCCCCACACCGTGCTGTTCCTACTCCAGTAGACTCACATGTTAAATAGCAGTTCCTGTTGAGATTGGAGTTACTGCAGGGAAGCTGCCGGACCTGCCTGGGAGCCATTGAAGGGCGAGTCAGGGCACGAGTCCCGGAGGCTGCCAGCATCCTAGTAGCAGAGCAGTTTCTCACTCCTTTGGTCTTCAGCATGCCGATTCCCCCCCAACCCCCTGCAGTGCAGGCTTCGCTGAAATTGCTCTGATCCTCATAGAAACACCAGAGCCTGTAGTGGCTGCTTTTGGTCTGAAACCCAGTTGGCCCATGAAAGAGAAAGTTGTATGTTTTGTATTGGTGTTTCCTAGTTTCTGCACTGGAGGGGGAGGGGACTGTTGAGGTTCTTTTTCCTTTCCCTCTTCCCTTTTCACACCAGTTGGCTTCCTCTCCTCTGATAACCACCTGCCTGCAGGGTCCTGTCTCCGCTGTCCTCAGCAGGTCTCCCATCTCCTGACCCAGCTCTGAAGGCACTGAGGACCCGGAGAACACCATTTCTCACATGCACATTGCCACAGGAGCCACCAGACTGCTTCCTGCCAGCCTGTGCTTACAGCAGGGGGCAGGGCAGAGGTGAATGCTGAGTTCAGGACTTGACTCTCCCACAGGTGGTGAGTTGGTGGCTCTAGGTGAGCTGGCATCTCCAAGGCCTCCCCTGTGTACACTTCAGTGAGTTCACTTTGATTTTTAATCCCACCACTGTAAGCACACAGTAATTTTAATTATGATTCAAACGTGACTCATGCCTGCCATCCTCGGAAGGCCAGCCCCGGCTTAACCACAGAACGCTGGCCCTTAATGCCTGAGCTCAGAGCTCTGGCCTTCTGTTCAGGCTAGAGGAACCTCCTCTGGACTCACCCAGGACTCTTCTAAAAAGCGTGTTGAATGAATCCACATTCTGGAACCTCAAGGGGGGAGAAGTAGGGAGCCCTTTTAAGCAGCATAAACCTAAATTGGGGGGGTTAAACTAAGTAGTAGCTTGGGGTGGGAAGAGGGATGGCTGGCAGGGCCATCTGAGCATAAGGTAGTAATGAAACAACTCAGCTGGGCTCTTGAGAGCCCTTAGGAAGGAGAGGCAACACCTTTATCCACTGACATGGACAAGCTCAGAAGAGGTGGTGGTAGGGCAGGTGTGATGTCCGCAGAGGCCCCTCAGGCAATCACATGGCAGGGGCCACTGAAACCAGGCCTAGGAGGGAGAACAG